AAGACACTGATATTTTTCCTGTAGCTATGTTTTAGTCTACTTTTAAGGTTACAACTGTGAGATTAATATCAGGTGAGTGATGCAGGCCCATTGGGCCTATTGTTACTACACAACAGTGCAAGGTAATCACCTTTAGCAAGTTTTTAATTACATATTTAAGCCCTGTAAGAGTAAAATTGAAATAGAAAATATCATTTACAGCAATATCAAAACAAATAAAGCATCACACAAATAACAGAAGAGTCCTTAAATTTGACTTTATTTGGGGTTTTTTAATTCCAAAATATACACAAAGTATTACAAAATTTTAATGTAAACAAATAAACAAGTGGCTGTAAGAACAGGTGGGTTAACATTGACTGTAGGAACAGGTGTGTAATCACCCTGTAAAAGTTGGCTGTAAGAACAGGTGTGTAATCACCCTGTAACAGTTGGCTGTTAGAACTAGTGGGTTACCACTCTTGACAATTGGCTGTAAAACAGGTGGGTTACCACCCTGTAACAGTTGGCTGTAAGAACAGGTGTGTAATCAACCTGTAACAGTTGACTGTAAGACCAGGTGGGTTAACAGCCTCTGACAGTTGGAAGAAAGAACAGGTGGGTAATCACCCTGTAACAGTTGGCTGTAAAAACAGGTGGGTTACCACCCTGTAACAGTTGGCTGTAAGAACAGGTGTGTAATCACCCTGTAACTGTTGGCTGTAAGAACAGGTGGGTTAACAGCCTGTAACAGTTGGCTGTAAGAACAGGTAGGTTTAATAGCCTCTAACAGTTGGCTGTAAGAACGGGTGGGTAATCACCCTGTAACAGTTGGCTGTAAGAACAGATGGGTTAATAACCTCTAACAGTTGGCTGTAAGAACAGGTGGGTAATCACACTGTTAGAGTTGGCTGTAAAAACAGGAGGGTTATCACCCTGTAACAGTTGGCTGTTAGAACTAGTGGGAAAACAGACTCTAACAGTTGGCTGTAAGAAGAGGTGGATTAACAGCCTGTAACAGTTGGCTGTAAGAACAGGTAGGTTTAATAGCCTCTAACAGTTGGCTGTAAGAACGGGTGGGTAATCACCCTGTAACAGTTGGCTGTAAGAACAGATGGGTTAATAACCTCTTACAGTTGGAAGAAAGAACAGGTGGGTAATCACCCTGTAACAGTTGGCTGTAAAAACAGGTGGGTTACCAACCTGTAACAGTTGGCTGTAAGAACAGGTGTGTAATCACCCTGTAACTGTTGGCTGTAAGAACAGGTGGGTTAACAGCCTTAACAGTTGGCTGTAAGAACAGGTAGGTTTAATAGCCTCTAACAGTTGGCTGTAAGAACGGGTGGGTAATCACCCTGTAACAGTTGGCTGTAAGAACAGATGGGTTAATAACCTCTAACAGTTGGCTGTAAGAACAGGTTAGTAATCACACTGTAAGAGTTGGCTGTAAAAACAGGAGGGTTATCACCCTGTAACAGTTGGCTGTAAGAACTAGTGGGAAAACAGACTCTACAGATGGCTGTAAGAAGAGGTGGATTAACACCCTGTAACAGTTGGCTGTACGAACAGGTTGCTTAACACCCTGTTACAGTTGGCTATAAGAACAGGGGGGGGGGGGGGGGGGGGGGGTTATCACTACAAAACAGTTGGCTGTAACAGACTTACAGTTAACACCCTTTTTGTATGCAGATCTGTCTTTGGTTACAAAACAACAATCGGAGAGTATAATTATTTTTGTATATGTTACGAACTCCTTATGAAACATGGTGACATATTTCAGATATACAGTTCTACCACAGTTCTACGTATTACATATAAATAAAGGTGGTTGATATAACTGATACAATTTTAAGATTACAAGTGCAGCAATTCTTATAGAGAGGCATAGCTGGTATAATAAATAAGCAGTGTTGGTGTGGATACAGAGTGTGGAGCGTGGATACAGGGTGTGGAGCATGGAGTGCGGATTCAGGGTGTGGAGTGTGGGTACAGGGCGTGGAGTGTGGATACAGGGTGTGTAGTGTGGGTACAGGGCATGGAGTGCGGATACAGGGCATGGAGTGTGGATACAGGGTGTGTAGAGTGGGTGCAGGGTGTGTAGTGTGGGTACAGGGTGTGGAGCATGGATACAGGGTGTGTAGTGTGGGTACAGGGTGTGGAGCATGGATACAGGGTGTGTAGTGTGGGTACAGCATGGATACAGGGCATGGAGTGTGGATACAGAGTGTGTAGTGTGGATACAGGGCGTGGAGCGTGGATACAGAGTTTGTAGTGTGGGTACAGGGCGTGGAGCATGGATACAGGGCATGGAGTGTGGATACAGGGTGTGAAGTGTGGGTACAGGGTGTGTAGTGTGGGTACAGGGTGTGGAGCATGGATACAGGGTGTGTAGTGTGGGTACAGGGTGTGGAGCATGGATACAGGGCGTGGAGCGTGGATACAGAGTTTGTAGTGTTGGTACAGGGCGTGGAGCATGGATACAGGGCGTGGAGCATGGATACAGGGTGTGTTGTATGGGTACAGGGCGTGGAGCATGGATACAGGGTGTGTAGTGTGGGTACAGGGTGTGGAGCATGGATACAGGGTGTGTAGTGTGGGTACAGGGTGTGGAGCATGGATACAGGGTGTGTAGGTTGGGTACAGGGTGTGGAGCGTGGATACAGAGCGTGGTAGCAACAAACTTACATCTCAGGCTTTTACATCCAACAACGTTGAAGAGATTTAAGTCAAGTATGATGTGAAACAGTAATAAATATTCCTTTAGGCAACTTTAGTTCAAATGATGCAGTTGGGTCCATTTTATATATAAAAAAACTATTATTAAAATCGTAGCAATTCGTGAAGCACCATTAGCATGAGACGACAGCTTTCATCCTTCTTCTTTATCATAAAAATTAACAGAACTTCCAGGTTCTGATGTTACTAATAGTTACAGTGTACCTGGTCTATTAAAATATTTAAACAATGAAAACATGCATCATAGATAGTATGGAAAAACTTGAACAAGATAAACATCACTATAACCATACACTGTTAACTGTATGTGAGTAACATGTATTACCACACGTAACCATACATCAGTAACTATACCTTAATTATTAACCACATGTCAATAACCATACGTCGGTAACCATATGTCATTAAAATACCTCAGTTACCAAATGTAAGTGTAACCTTACAAAAACTAACCATACTTTATTACCTTGGTAACCAAATGTCAATAACCATACATCATTAATAATATGTAAATCATATATCAATAATAATACAATACAGCAATACTTATACAGCCACAGTAGAGTTTTTTTTGTTTCATGCTTACTTAAAACATTTCAGGAGCCAACCTTCTAGTACTTATTCAGGGAGATGTTATTTCGTGTTTCCCTCACAGTGTATGTCTTACACTTTGTTGTTATGTTGCCATGATACTGGTAGCCATGATTGATGATTAACACACATTAACGCGGAAATAAAGAACATGTAAAATTAAAATAATCCACATTATCATAACAATATAATAGAAATCACGCAGTAAAACCTGGTAAATCCAACCCCTGGTTACTCCAATAGCATATCTAATCCATTTCGACACCTAACATGGGTAGTCCCTTTTTTTCTCTTATAAAATGATGAAAATAAGATCTGTATACTTTGATAGCCTGTCTAATCTTACCAATACCAGGGTATGTTTTATCAAACGTGTGTCAGATTAGAAAGGATAATCTGATATATTTTGTCCCTCATGATGTCAGATTATATAAGTTATTCTGACCAAAATGTTGTATCTCACATGTATCAGATAAAACAGTTTATTCTGATCAATATGTTGTACCACAAATGTGTCAAAATACACAGGTTAATCTAATATGTTATGTCCCTAAGGTTGTCAGATTGTAAATCTATCCAATATGCTTTGTCCCATATGTCTGATTAGACAGGGAGTCAGATAAGACAAGTTAATATAATATCCTGATCCCTATAGGTGTTCAATAAGATAGGTTAATCTGACTTATATGCTGTGTCTCACAGATGTCTGATTAAACAGGTCAATCTGATTGATATGTTGCTTCCCACAGGCATATAACACGTTTAATCAGATAGGTCAATATCACCAGTATGCTGAGTATTACAGGATATCATATAAGACAGGTTGCTAAATCAGTATGCTGTGTCCCACAGAGTGTCAGATAAGACAGGTTGCTAAATCAGTATGTTGTGTCCCACAGGGTGTCAGATAAGACAAGTTAATCTGACCATTATGTTGTGTCCCACAGGGTTTCAGATAAGACAGGTTAATCTGACCAATATGTTGTGTCCCACAGGGTTTCAGATAAGACAGGTTAATTTAACCAACATGTTGTTTCCCACAGGGTTTCAGATAAGACAGGTTAATTTAACCAACATGTTGTGTCCCACAGGGTTTCAGATAAGACAGGTTAATCTGACCAATATGTTGTGTCTCACATGGTGTCAGGTTAGACAATTAAATCTGACCAATATGATGTCTCCCACAGGGTGTCAGATAAGACAAGTTTCATTTTACTAAAATCCTACAGGAACCATGAGTGAGTTAGTTTCAGCTGTAATAAATGAAATACTGATATATATTACATATGATATGCAAGTATTTTACCAAATTTACATCCCATACTTTATTTACTATAGTTATTTGCATTTACGTTTTTATATGAGCCTCTAAGCTACAACATTATAAAGGAAGAAATAAGTTCTTACAACTTACTTGTAGGTGAAGAGTTAGGAAGACGATACAGCTATATAATATCAACTACGAGAATATATCACCTGTGTGCTCCGTGGTACAGAGTAAAGGTACAGTCTATTGCAATATGAATATTATTGTATGTATAAATATTGATACATCTGCTATAGATACATAGTTTAAGGCATACATTAGACATAATAGAATGTTTTACATATACTACACATATCAAACAAAAATGTTGACTATAAATAGAAAATATTAGATAGTAAATAGATTTTTTTTAAATTGCAATATTTCTTCAATAACAATACAATACTGTACAATGTATAAGCACAATTATAATGTACATTATGTTTACAAAATGTTTTAACAATTCAAAACTACAAAGAATTTACAATTAATATTGATGGCAGGAAATCTTTGCCATCAATATTCAATATCAAATCTGAAAAAAGTTGCAATATTTGAAATACTTGGCTTGGCCTCATAGTTCTAACGAATATTTAGTAAAGACTCAATGCACTGTTGAGATCTTCAAAGCCCACAGTCATTTAAAATTCAACCACTGTTTCCAAACATCTGTTTACACTCCTTCCAAACTAATCAATATAATAATCGTATAGGTAATCCCACTTCAAGAACAGATTTCTGACAATACTTCCAATCTGAATTGAGTTATCTCCCCTATATCGGAACCGAGACAATCAAAGGGAGACAACATTTACCACAGCTATTTCTGAATAATTGCACTTGTTGGATAAGAATAAATTAGTTTTCTCTGATCATCTCAAATTACACATTCAACCATTTGTATCATTTCTGCAGAAAAAGTAATAATAGTTCCCTTACATGTGATGACTTCAGAACACAATGTTGTCTCCCAAATGTAGATCCCACCTGTAGGCTTGTCTCCCACCCACCTGTAGGCACATTGAGTTTTAGGTAGGGAGATTCTCACCACAAGCATTATTTTACCAGACCCATTATACTGAATTTATTATTCTATTGAACAATACTGATCACATACGACTTGTTTACATTATAACTGATCAAATGCTCTCTAAAAAGAAGTTATCTTATTGGTGTTTTTAGATACATTTTCAACAAGTTAGCAATTTCAAACAGCCCATGGAATTTTGGGGAGTTTCTGATTTTGCAAAAGCAGTTCCAGTCTCTCAAGGTAAAACATAGGGAGAATCCCTGTGAAAACTGGGACATTGCATGTCTGAGTTCTAAATGGCAATAACAAATAATGTTATAAACAAATTAGAAGACCATCATGGAGCAGTACCTGTATATATGACATATAATTATATAGTAAGTATTCAATGTACAAACTTGATCTCACACACCTTTTACCGGGCCACATATGCGACATGTAAATTGCAAAATAATATCGTGAAACATAACGCTCATGCTTTTTGTCAGATTTCTTTTTTTCAACTTCATTGCATGAAAAAAGCGTTTTATTACACATGGGTAAATCATATCATGTTAATAGAATATCAAATTTGTTCCCATATGCCTTTCATTGTATCTTTAAGGACTTTGCTGGAGTTTATTGTGACCTTCTCTTTCCTGAATATTTAATATCATTACTCATACGTCAACTAACACATGTTTTTTGTAATGTTAAATGAAATAATTCAATGTGTATACGAAACAGAAATGCTTCACCACATTTATAGCTGACATGTTATCTCCCTTTGCCACACAATATCCATTATAAATCAATGGTGGTGTGTGTCTACCATCATGGCAGTTAAAAAGCTTTCTATGAAAATCCAATAATTCTTTCTTTATCTCATCATAATGAGACATAAAGTCACTAAGCCACCTAGCAGAGATTTACAACAACTGTACAGTCACGGAGCTGTTTCTAGAAATTGACTCAATTCCTCTATTGGTGTACGATTGTTTACGTCAACACTTCTCCGTAACAACAGAGATGTGGGCAGGTCGGTCAGTATTCCCTTGAGTTCTGTGATTACACTCAGATCTACAGGTGAGCTTTGAGGAACTTCAGTCTCTTCAAATGTTAAACTCATCAAATCATCAAGGAGTTGAAGGTTTGGGCCGTCATGCTCATTTTCTTCCTCCTCCTCCTCCTCCTCCACCACCTCCTCCCCTTCATCCTCTTGAGTTTTCGGTCTCCGCATTGTGACTCTCACCTCTGAATCATCCACATCACCATTAGTTAGCCCTTTTGGCCTTAACACAACTGAATCCTCTGTCTCCTCTCTTTGACTAATGGGTTTACCTTCACAAATATCTTGGCCGTTCACTGTATGTAGGTCAAACTCGTCTTGAGTTTCCTTGGGTGGACTGCTGCAAATTCCCGATGTATATCCTGAGTCAGTATGTCGATCCCCAGAGACAATGGTTTCACTACGACTAGGTACCACCTCATTGGCCGCCCTGGATACTTCAGACAAATCTATTTTAGTTCCTGAACTAGTGGTGGTAATTCCTTGCATCTTCTGACTGATCGGCTGGTGACCAACAGACAATGGTCGTGCAGTTAAACTGGATGAAGATGGCTGCTCAGATATGTTGGACGAAGTTGGCCTCTCCAAAGACTTCGGTGAAAATGGCCCGACAGGTGAGTGAGGAGACGGAGAAACAGGTGATGTTGAAGACGGGTTACTACCTTCAGAAGAAAAACGTAACAGGAGACTGTTCACTTTTCCTCCTGAGTTGGGACGAGATGGACGGGAAGGGGGGCATTCTGTTTCCTTTGGTTGAACTCCCGTTGAAAATTTATTGATCATATCTTTTGTGATGGACTTTCTGTCAGTTTTTGTGTCCTGTGGTTTTGTGGTGCTGGATTCCTCCTCCCCTTTCTCTGACTTACTGGACAGTCGTTTCAGTGCATTTGTAACCGCATGATGCTGGGGAAGTGAGCCTCGCCTCGGTGATACTGGCTGCTCTTCTTGTTTCTGACTGAAATTAAATCAACTCAAGCTGAACTGTTTTTGTAATATACATTATGAAAGAGATTTAAACTATCAAGAATGGTACTTTCTTTAACAAGAGGCCCAATGGGCCTGCATCGCTCACCTGGTATTAACCCCACACTTGTAACCTTAAAAGTGATCTAAGATAAAGTTACAGGCAAAATATCAGTATTTATGACTATGTCATTAAAAAGAACATGTTAAAAGATTTTAAAACATTTCACCCCTGTGACTTTGAAAGTCGAACAAGGTACATAGAACAAACTTTATAGTCCTAAATCTCAGCATGCAACTTGCCAAATATCATCACCCTAGACCTTTTGTTGATTGAGATTAGGTTTATACACATTTGATCAAATGTGACCTTCAAAGAAGGTCAAGGTCATTCAAATGACTTGATAGATCTTATTCCAAGCATGCTACTGGCCAAATTTTAACATTCTATGTCTCATGGTTATCCAGAAGAAGTTGTTTATATTTTTTAAACAAATTTGACCCCTGTGACCTTGAATATAAGTCAAGGTCATTCATTTGAACAATCTTGGTAGCACTTCATCCCAGCATGTTACTGGCCAAATATCATCACGGTAGGCCCATTGGTTATTCAGAAGAAGTTGTTAAAAGGTTTTAAATATATTTGACCTGTGATCTTGAATATAGGTCAAGGTCATTCATTTGAACAAACTTGGCAGCACTTCATCCCAGCATTTTACTGGCCAAATATCATCACCCTAGGCCTATTGGTTATTCAGAAGAAGACGTTAAAAGATTTTAACATATTTGACCCATGTGACCTTGAAAATCAATGAAGGTCATTCATTTCAACAAACTTGGTAGCCCTTTATCCCAGCATGCTACTGGCAAAATATCATCATCCTAGGCATTTTGGTTATTGTGAAGAAGTTGTTTAAATTAAAAACATGGCATAAGCTCACCGCCTTTGGGCAGGTGAGCTAAAAACTAAAACATACAACATTAAAAAATAGTTATTCTCTTCATAGATATAGCAATGGTCTACCCAGACCTACTGATTGTCCATCAATTACAAGTAATCTAACTGACCACTGTCTATAATGATCAGTTAGGACAAGCTGACCACTGTCTATACTGACCTAGCAAGGGCAGGCTGACCACTGTCTATACTCACCTAGTAAACTTCTGACAAGCTGACCGAAGTCTTTACTGACCTAGTAAGGACAAGCTGACCACTGTCTATACTGACCTAGTAAAGGCAAGCTGACCACTGTCTATAATGATCAGCTAGGACGTGTCCACTATCTATACTGACCTAGCAAGGGCAGGCTGACCACTGTCTATACTCACCTAGTAAGGACAAGCTGACCACTGTCTATACTGACCTAGCAAAGACAAGCTGACCACTGTCTATACTGACCTAGCAGAGACAAGCTGACCACTGTCTATAATGATCAGCTAGGACATGTCCACTGTCTATACTGACCTAGCAAGGGCAGGCTGACCACTGTCTATACTGACCTAGCAAAGACAAGCTGACCAGTGTCTATACTGACCTAGCAAAGACAAGCTGACCACTGTCTATAATGATCAGCTAGGATGTGATCACTGTCTATACTGACCTAGCAAGGGCAGGCTGACCACTGTCTATACTCACTTAGTAAACTCATTCTGACAAGCTGACCGAAGTCTTTACTGACCTAGTAAGGACAAGCTGACCACTGTCTATACTGACCTAGCAAGGGCAGGCTGACCACTGTCTATACTCACTTAGTAAACTCATTCTGACAAGCTGACCGAAGTCTTTACTGACCTAGTAAGGACAAGCTGACCACTGTCTATACTGACCTAGCAAGGGCAGGCTGACCACTGTCTATACTCACTTAGTAAACTCATTCTGACAAGCTGACCGAAGTCTTTACTGACCTAGTAAGGACAAGCTGACCACTGTCTATACTGACCTAGCAAGGGCAGGCTGACCACTGTCTATACTCACTTAGTAAACTCATTCTGACAAGCTGACCGAAGTCTTTACTGACCTAGTAAGGACAAGCTGACCACTGTCTATACTGACCTCGCAAAGACAAGCTGACCACTGTCTATACTGACCTAGCAAAGACAAGCTGACCACTCTCTATACTGACCTAGTAAGGACAAGCTGACCATCCTGTTGCCTTGCCTCCTCTATGTGGTTGATCCAATCCTGACAAATTTCTGCTGTTTCAGCTGACTGGAGATTAAAGTAAAGATTGTGTTGATAAATGCAGTGAAACAGGACAAAACCACTTCTGTGAACGTTTTACAGGTCAGATAAAGGACTTACAAACTTCTCTAACAAGTTACCTGGATCAATTACAGTTATAGCATATAGTTACATAGATCAGGATCTATAACATGTATATAGCCTAGACACAGAACAGCAACTAGAACTTATATATATAACCTATATATAGATCAGGATCTATGACATGTATATAGCCTAGACAAAGAACAGCAACTAGAACTTAAAAATATAACATATATGTAGATCAGGATCTATAACTTGTATATAGCCTAGACACAGAACAGCAACTAGAACTTAAAAATATAACATATATATAGATCAGGATCTATAACATGTATATAGCCTAGACACAGAACAGCAACTAGAACTTATATATATAACATATATATAGATCAGGATCTATAACATGTATATAGCCTAGACACAGAACAGCAACTAGAACTTATATATATAACATATATATAGATCAGGATCTATAACATGTATATAGCCTAGACACAGAACAGCAACTAGAACTTATATATATAACATATATATAGATCAGGATCTATAACATGTATATAGCCTAGACACAGAACAGCAACTAGAACTTATATATATAACATATATATAGATCAGGATCTATAAC